GAGGAACCGAAGGTAGATCGAAGGTAGATCTAAGGTAGATATTTCCCTAGTGACAATTGAAAACAAATGTGTAGCACATGCACTACAGCTAAGCTAATCTACAAGCTCTTGACTTGCCTGACCACTGTCTGTCACTTAGGTCTATAGAGGTACTTGCTTACTTACTCATGGAGCTGAGCCCTTCTGGAGGAGCCGCCAATTCTGCAGCTACTCGAAAATTTCCCAGCATTTTATGGAACCCGAAGGTTAATTACAGTGTTCACAAGAGCCCTCTACTAGTCCCTATCCTGAGCCAGATCAATCCAATCCATACCATCCCCATCCTATCTCTCTAAGATCCATTTTAATATTGGCTATGCCTTGCTCTTCCCAGTGTTCTCTTTCCTTCTGGCATTCATCGTCTACCCAATTCGTGCTACATGCCCTGCTCACCTCATTCTTCTTGACTTGACCATTCTAATTATACTTGGAGAAGAGTACAAGTTATGAAGCTCCTCATTATGCAGTTTTCTCCAACCTCCTGTCACTTCATCTCTCTTTGGTCCAAATATTCTCCTCAACACCCGTTCTCAAACACCCTCAGTCTATGTTTCTCCCTTAATGTCAGAGACCAAGTTTCACACCCATACAGAACCACAGGCAAAAATATAGTTTTGTATATTCTAATTTTTATGTTTTTGGACAGCAAACGAGAACTATAGAAGTACAGTTCATTAATAGGAAATGGCATGAGATGCTGTAAGAGGACCTAGTCGTGCCCTGCATTTACATTAAAGAAATGCTCTGAAATTTGCATCGAGGGAATGACAAAAGCACTCAAAATCCAAAATAGCAGGTACCTAAGACCAAGATGATGATACCTACAGTAAGAACCGCTACGCAGAGATACGCATTTGATTTGTGTAGTTACAATGTCAAATATGATTCAGTCATATTTTGTTTAATGACATAATTTCAAAAGCAAAGATGTTATTGTATTTACTGACACGAAGAGAATAGCATGAATGGCGAGTAAATAGTGGTTTGCAGTTACCAAGTTATGGCCTATTTAAACATAAGCCTATTATCCTATTTCGTCAATCCCCTGGAGAGACTGAGGAAAATCATAAAGAATCTTAGTCAATGAGCTTTACTATTTCACCAGCATGAACAGCGTGTCCGCAAAGGTTGAAAAAATTATGAAAATTTATGTATATAATTTCTTTTCGCGGGAGCTGAAAGAGAGAGAGATGGAGGGAGGGATCATGACCCTTGGCCTGAGCGCGCCTCTCATGAAGCCGTTCAGCTGACAGAGAAATCGCAAGAAACTCTCGAAGGGACAAGCCTATAAGAGTACATCAAAAGCTTTCGCTCCAGCCCAATTTCAGTTGAGTACGGTGCAGAGAAGCCGAGAGAAGTATGAACACAATATTTTGAGCAGTGCCACTGAAGTAAACTATGGAGTACAAAGAGAACTGATCTCAGGAGCACAATTCCTTCGGGTTGTGAGACAACTGCTCTATATATCGACACATTTTACAGAATATATCAACAAGATTGCTGCAGACGTAATATCTGGATTGAGGAATGCCGTCTTCTTGGATGGGGCGCCGTGTAGATATTTTGTAAGGCGACATTTCGGAGGAAGGTCTGCAGCCACCTGCTCACGTTGCTTCACCGTTCGCGAATTCTTATACCCTGAATATGGAGGCGATACGTTCCTCCTCTTCATAGACACCGTAGTGTAAACCTCAAATCTTAACAATATCTGCATTATCTATACCTGACCGCCACAAATTAAAAAATTCCACTAATTTCCTTATCAAAAAATATTATTTAATTTTAAACAATTGTTAGACTGAACTGAGTCTTCGAAGAGAGAAACTCTGTGCTCAATGCAAAAGCTACTCAACTTACGCTATAAATCTAGTAAGATGGATAGCAGTTCGGCCTCTCACGTGTGAAGTCAAGAGTCTTCAGGAAACCTCATTAAAATTCCAAGTGTCTGGAAACCAAACTCAGGGCTCTTTGAGAGAAATTTAAAGTGGGACAAATAAAATCAACGTAAAGGAACGTCTAATAATACAACTGCAACTACAGACTCGAAGTACTGGACACAGGAACAGTATAATGACATGTATGCAGCGATGTTATTCACGACAAAACCAATTTTTCGTCAGAAATTACTCACAAAACAACTCCGCATCTTTTACAGGTATGAAGTATATTTTAGAGTGTGATATCACATACCTTCAGTGAAAATTACACAACGTGATTTTAAATGGAACTTTTAGAAGAAATTGCGTTTCTTTTTTCATCGGTTACTTAGATGCGCTTTGGTCGCGCCGTAGCTCAAGCGGTTAGTCGTTGGCTTCCCATCGCGGCGGCCCGGGTTCGATGCCAGGTCTGGTCAAGTGGGATTTGTGGTGGACAAAGTGGCGCTGGCGCATGTTTTCTCCGAGTATTTCGGTTTCCCTGCCAATCTTCATTCCACCAATTGCTCCACAATCACCCTCACTTATCATCTAGGGCTGGTACAATAGGCCAGAAGTGGTCGCAGTGGTCCCACCCCACTAGAAATAAAAAATAGTCCAACCCCACTAGTAATAAAAAAAATAGATGCGCTTTCAGTACCAGGGCTACATTGTGTAATATAGTGAGGTGATAGATGATAAAGAAGATTTGGAAGGAAATTATTAAGACCGACTACTACTACCACTACTGCTGCATGGCAGTCTACAAACTCTTACTTGGTCTTACATTCTTCATTGGTTCAAAATAAGACTTTCAGGAATTCGCATAGAAACTGAAGTGACTAAATCTACCAAACCACTTTAAAGAAGTCACATAAATTTAAAAAATAAAAACTTCTTTTACAGACCGGAAATCCTTAAATGTAGACTAGAGGCTCAAGGGGATGTTGTAGTCTCGTTCGAGTATTCTCAATGACTAATATCAAGACCCTAAGTGTGACGAAAGCCATTCTTGCGTTCACATGGCGGAGTGGTTCTTTTCTTCTGCACTCAATCCAGTAGCATTCTCAGTAGGACATGTTTGAAGAAAGGTTAATGGGGGTTGAGTAGGGAGATACAGCAATGGTGTGGGGTGAGATGAGCAGGCGCGAAGAATGAAGAGACAGACACAAGCGAAACCTGATCCCCAGAGCCATCTTCGCTGTTGTTGGTCCTTCAGAGATAGAATGAGGTCAGAGGCCCATATATTACCCAAAGATCCCCTGAATCCGCTTGCACCCTGTTCATAGCTATCCTTATGCTGCAAGAAGAGTTCTTTCGGCGGATGTGGAAAGTCAAAACAAGACGCGCGTGATTTAAAGTAGTGGAATGTTGGCTCCTAACTTTAAGAGAGCCGCGTGAGATTCTCTGGGATAGTAACTCTGCGCCTTCTGGTCTTCCTTTTATGTGAGACGGAAGAGAAAAAGTGACACAAGACAAATGTAGGAATGAACGAAATTGAGCACAACCAGCAGCGCTAGTGCTCCACCTTTGTAATCAGCGGAACTGTGAATCATTTAGATGATTAATCAGAAAGCCAAGCTTCACGAATCGGATTCTCAAATTATCAATCACTTGCGCATACAAACACACAACATGCTCGTTCAGGATCATTAAACTGGAGCTCTTCAGTGGAAGAACTACGGGGCCCAGTTATATCTGATAATAGATAAGAGTGGAGAAGTATACTTTGCTGCAATTTGGAGTATAAATATTGTCACGTGAATTAGTGACTTGTACACGGGGTTTGGATTGGTGAATCGATTTACTGGATACTCACAAGTCGTAACTACAATTAGTTCTTAGAGATCACTAAGTAATCTTAAATATTACAAGTAAAATCAAGCCTTCAGCACTTCAACCATTGAATTCCCTTAACCGATGGTTTACGAATTGATGAATGAATCCACTACTGGTCTGGTCTCCTCCTATACTCGCCGCGCGGCCGGCATAAAACGCACCTCTTTGAAGGGTTTCCTTTTCGTATGCGTAGTAAATGTTTGTTTATGTACGCGTTGTCATGGGAACGTCTTTCCACTTGTCACCTAGGCAACGACGTATTCCCTGCTGTTGTAGCGGAGACATGATTACCGATTTGTTGTCTAGCAATGGACGTCGCGCTCCGAATTCGATATTCCGGCTTTCAGGCGTCATGTCACAATATATTGCAAATACTTTATTTTCGGTTTAGTTTACCTATTTTGTATTGATTTCTTTATTGCAGGTATGCATTAGGCGTTACATAAGTTTACCAATTTCCTTATCACGTGTCCTCCCTTAGGACCGAAATTTTTACCGTTTTCTAGAGTACATTCTGCCTCTCCTTCTCTCTCCGATCTCGAATTATAACTTTCCTGCTCAAGAACTGGGAGTTGCAAGTTTTCTGATGTTCAGGAGATTTAAAACTGAATTTTGCGCTTTCTTATGGCTCCTCTTTCTACCATTTTATTGCGTATTTAGGCCTTTCTAATTCTTATTGCCTACTGCCCTTTATACCGCAAGAGTACTTGATTTAAAATCCCCAGAAATATAAGAAATATATGGGAATGGCATAATCTAAATCAAGAAGCTTTTTAATTCCACCTTTCTCGAATCAAAGTATTATCTCTTAAAATTTCTGATGTTAGGAGTGTAATAAAACACAGGATGGACAAAAAGTTAGTTAACTGTTTAGTAAAATGTGCAAAGATATGTCAGTAATGTCTTTATTACTTATAGAATTTACAAAAATAGTTCGAAATAATATCCTCCATGTTCAGGGCACAACTCACAACGCTGTGATACTGTTCTACAAATTAACTGGCAGTTTTGAATCTTAACATCTCTATTAATGCGAGGGAATATTTCGGGTTAAGAGATTTTTGAGCAAATTCTTTATATAGTTCCAATATTACTATGATCAAGACACAAATAATATCCTTCAAAATATATGTTGGAAACTGTGAGAAAAGTAATGGGGGAGGTGATTGTTATTTCAATAGTTTCTTCTTATTATTATTATTATTTCAGAATGGTGGCTCACCGCAGTACCTAGCGGACAGACTGCAGCAATTCAGTGATTCCCTCCACAGATTCGGCCCGATGAACGGTAAGTGTTGCAAACAATACAGTACGTTGGACACTTGCTAGGACTCGAACCCTACCACGTAACACTCGGCTCCATATTGATAATGGGAGGAGACGATTTATGCAATAAGATGGACACCCACTCTGCCATGTATCAATTATTTCATTGTCAACGGAGGAAGAATTTACTTCAGAGCTTTTCGACAGTGCTAAACTACCCCCAAGGAGAGCCACCGAGTTTGCCCACAGTATTATGCTACCTTTAGGTTTCAGACTGTTGGCACTCTTCTTTGTAGGACCTCAGTTCCTTGCACTTCACTAAAAGGCAACCGAAGTTTCGGAGAAGTTCTGCTTCCTACATTCTTCACTCTTGTTTTTTGTTTACTTTAATCTTCGACCTTGAATACTGATGCGACATGTTCCACCGAACTAACGATTGGCTTCCAACGAACTACAAGGAGTATTATCTCAGAAGATATAATTCTTCACTCGTATTAGTTTCTTAACGAAAATAACCTCGACAATAGCACTTAGCCTGTTAAAATGCGTGTCAATTTATTTTTTCCCTTGTATTTTCCATCATAAACCAACTGACTATTTCTTTTATTCCAACGCATTTCTTCGCCAGGTGTAATACCTGGGACATTAGTATGAATCTCCATTTCGGCAGAGTTTCTAAAAAAATTCTGCTAATTTTATACGTCTGTACGTCGTTTCTTTTAAGAACCTTCTCACTAACCTTCTCCCTCCCCCATCTTTCGCCGGCGTTTTCTCGAAAGATTACGTGTCTCAACATTTCAAGCGTTTGTTGTGAATGGAAACAAGCCGTGATAATAATTACAGATGAGAAGGTCTATGAAAATGAGGCTCTGTCGATAATGAAACTCGCACTCAGGTAGCCATGGCTGAGGCGGCGAGCTCTACTTTTGATCTGGTTATCAGACGCACTTTTAAGCCTCAGGTTTCCTCGTGTTGGCTGCTCCTGGATCACTTATTGGACTGCGTACCTAAGTGACACATTTGAAATTAACCCCCAAAACATAAATAGCTTTAATATGTCATTGGAGATGACATCAGCAGGATTAACACACTTCATAACCTATTTCCCTAGATAGAATATTAATAATCAATCTAGTGGTCAGAGTTCCTGACTACAGATCAAGAGTTCCCGGTTCCATTCCAGGCGCTACCAGATTTTCTGAGAAGTAGTAGGTTTGGAATGGGGTCCACTCAGCCTCGTGAGGATAATTGAGGAGCTATTTCAAGGAAATAGCGGCTCCGGTCTAGAAAACCGAGATTAACGGCAGTGGGGAACCATTGCGCTGACCACGTGACACCGCTATCCGCAAAAGTTGGCACTAACTTCGCCAGCAGGCGGCGGTCGCTCTGTCGGTATAGTTCGCTTACGGACTACAGGATACGGAGTTTTTTTTTTTAGAATATTAATAATATCCTCTCATGATCATGTTCTTTCGCATGGTTGCTCTTCAACTTTTCCTCCCACCAAACTACTCTTCCTTTAACGACGCCGTCAGGAGCTCAGATGATGCAGCATCGAATGGTTGAGTGATTAATAAATAATTAATAGGAAAAGATATGAAAGAAGGTAGTGTGCTCCAGCTTGAGTCAGTAAGTCGAAATTTGCTCGGAGGAACTGAAAATAATAACGAAAACCCCCCTATCTATAAAGCTGATCTCCTGATCGAGATTCTAACATATTACGTCCCGAACACGACGCTGGAGTGCTCCTCTAAACCACCACGAGTTTTCGCATCAAGTACTGTTCTTTCCTTCGTTATGAATATTAGACAAGGAAGCATGCGGAAGGAACAGGTTGAGGTCCATGATTTGTTTATGCCAGTAGCCCTCCAGGACGTTACACTGCTACTGCAAACCCAATAATAATTTGGCTCCCTGAATGGTTTCGGGCAGATCACGTTACGATTACGAAGCAAGGATGGATAACTATTTCCCAACAGACAGAACAAACACATCATTTTCCTTGTTGATAGGTAAAGGCGTGCTGAATATCCTATTGAGCGACAGTGATAACCGTTTATGTTATCATAATTTACATACCTTACAACTTTCATTACGTCTTTCCCTGTCGAACACTGGCATCATGGGTTCGAATCACATCAATTGCATGTCTGTTTGTGTATATTCTGTGTTTATGTTAGGTAGAGGCCTTGCGACGGGCTGATCCCCTGTCCAAAGAGTCCTACCAACTGTCATATATTAAGAAATTGAAGTGAGACGAAGTGTTTCACGGATGCCCTATGCTCCAAGTGGGAGCAACAGGAGAAGAAGAAGAAGAAGACGAAGAAGAAGAAGAAGAACCCATTTCCATTAAGTTCTTATTACAATGTGCAACTGCAGAATATTGTGGGAAAAAAGGCAGGTTCCTTTGCCACACAAAATGTAAAGAGAAAATTGCTTTATGAGACTTTTATAAACATATGTGTATGCTTATGTGTTTAATATAGGCCTGCTGATTATTCCTGTATATTTTCCTAAACAGAATGTGGTCCCCCTAGGCATTTGCTTATAAAATAACTTAATCAGACACAGGCCTATACGTCTTCCTAAATTCTATCATTTTGTTGGGAAAAATATAGAGGAGACCTGACATTTGAGGCTAAGCCAATTCATATTTCACTCGTTGTATTTCACGACTAAGCTAATTAGGGCTTCATACACAGAATTCCAATTGAAGACACAGATAGGCTACTCCTTTGCTGTTCGAGTTCTAGAAGCTGAAACCTGTCTTTAAAACACCAAGGAAACAGAAAAAAAAGGCTGAACATGTTTCCATGAGACCAAAGCTGTTTGGCACCACACAGTTCGTCTAGCGAAGCGCGTTTGTTTTCTTGTGACTAGTTAATGAGAGGAGGCGTGGTGACGTCAGAGCATTGCAGCGTGTCCACCGCACTGAAGCAGTACATACTGAAGTACACTCAAAATAAATACAATCCATTAGCTGCATATTTCGTTACCGTCGTTTGAAACAGATCTAAAATAAAACTTGTCAACGCAAAGAAGCATCGAGAGGTTATGGAAGCCAAAATTCCTAACATGTCTTGAACTTGCTTTTCGTTTCAGTATTCTAAATTTTCAAGTCATGTTCAGTCTCTACGCTAAGTCGTAAAGGGAGAATGTGTAGGGCCACTGATTAATCGCAGGTTCGGTTAAGTAGCCTGACTGAATGTCACTAGTTATAAGCACTAGCAGCAGGGTACAGGATCTTCCAAAATGATAGCTAACGGCCTTATCAAGAAATAATTCATTATGAAACCGCATAAATCAGCACACAGAACGTTTTGGAATATGTTACTCAAGTTTTACTTATTAAAGTTTGTTATTTAACAATATTTTTAGTAGCGAGACTAACTTTTCTGAATGAAACCGATATTATTATTATCTTGAATAATTATTATTCTTTCTAAATATTTATATTTTATATTTCTTAATTTTCAATAACAACTTCAACTTGTGTTAATGAAATTATTATTATTATTATTATTATTATTACTCATTTCTTTGTTTTTTTTTTTCTTTACATCTATGCATTAATGATTTTTCCTCCAGTGCTTGCCTGTAATTAGCCTTTGACTTTACGTTGTGTTTGTCCATAACATAATTACTTGCATCTACACTGTGCTATGTCTGTAATTGGCCTTGTGGCTGTTGAATCGGCACGTAAATAATAAAGAATTTAATTTAATTATTATTCGGCTACCATGAATTAGATTCTCTGGTGTGTTTCCATTGGTAATTAATTCTCAGAATTTATCCTTACAGGTTTTAAATTTTCCTGGACATGCAACCAGTATGTCGCACAGTCACTACCTATTCAGGAAACACAACACAGAAAACATGCACACATTTCCGCCTCGAGCAGGCTTCGAATCTACTTCCCTAGATAAGATCTAAAAGATTGTGACTTTGATACATAAATACAAATATTATGTTTCTGGACATTATCCACCGTCCTGTCTTTATCTAAAATCACCGTCCTGTTTACGACTATATTACAAAACACAACGTTGAAGAGACTGGATTCTGTTTCCGTCTTCACGAAAACCTACTCAGATAGGTCCAATCCATAGAGCGGGACTAGCTCTGTCGGTTAGACCCAACTGAGTAGGTTTTACCTGTAGACGGAGACAGGATCCAGTCACCGAAAAGTTGACTTTTGTAATGTAAACAGGACGATGAGTTTAGATAAATACAGGACAATGGATAATGTCCAGAAATATAATATTTTACTTCCACGGATTTAGAATGATTCAAAATGGCAGCAGGAGCATAAATCCACTGCAATCGACTTGCTGATGGTGATATTTGCGGCAACATTTATAATTCTGGTTTTCTTTTGTTTGTTGATGCTCTTTAGATGCACCGAATCATCAAGAACATTGATGATTTAAGCTTTTTCAAAGTTATATTGGTTCTGTGAAGAGATGCTTGCATAATGGTCTGGAACTCAGTGTTTCTTTATTGCTAGTGGGGTGGGACTAAGCCCCTTGTACTGCGGCCACTTGTACCAGCCCCAGATGATAGGTGAGGGTGATTGTGGAGCAATTGGTGGAATGAAGATTGGCAGGGGAAACCGAAATACTCGGAGAAAACCTGCCCCAGCGCCACTTTGTCCACCACAAATCCCACTTGACCAGACCCGGGATCAAACCCGGGCCGCCGCGGTGGGAAGTCAGCGACTAACTGCTTGAGCAATGGCGCGGCCCAGGAACTCAGTGTTACTAATAAAGTTATTACAGGCTCTTATATTCTCGTGAAATTAATGGCACAGATTTTAAATGTAAACTGTGTAACGGTTTAGTACCACGTTCTCTGTGTGTTAAAAATCATGGGATTTATTTTGACGTTAAGCTTCACTTTGACGGCCATGTCATTATATTTTCTCTCAAGGCTCAGAAATATCAGGCTTGATTACTTACGTGATCTTCTCATTTTCAACTTCTGATAGCCTGATTATTCTGTACAATATTTTTAGTCCAATCT